TTTTTTAAATAAATTAAATGATATAATAATTAATTAAAATAAAAAAATAATATTAATAATTGAGAATATAACAGTAGTATCAACTAAGGATTACTTATCATCACAATCCTTACTCGGCCTTGTTCTTTGACGCTTCATCATTAATTTGAGATAATGATGGGATGATAGTCTAGTTTACGTTGCCTTCACTTATTATGGATTTATGTTAGGGCTCTAGTTATTTCATACTACAAAAATGATATAATTATAATATTATATTATTTTATAAATTTATAATATAATATATTATTACATAATTATTTATTTTTATTAAAAATTTTATTTATAATATTATATGTATTATAATTATATATAGGTAACATTGTAAATGTAACACTACCATTAATTATTCCATATGGCTTTCTTCAGTTTCTTGTACTCTCATTGCTTACAAATGATATTCATTCTTTCCCATGAAAAATTCAGAATATTTTCATGAATAATGACGGTTAACATAAATTTATAGTAGTCTTTATTTATGGTATGTGATTTATATAGACTTATATAATCAATGATTAAAATAATTTTGTTTTAAAACTTAATATTAAGAATTATTACTCTATTTATTTATGCATTTTTTGGCCATAACTTTTTTTTTTTTTTTTGCACTTCTCAACATTAACAAATAGTAATTAAGTATAACTAGTAACGGGGAAGTGATATGATACCCCCAGCATGTCCCCTTTGAAGGATTAAAATCCCACGCCAAGTTGCCAACAGCTGGTGCAGTGCAGAAGCATGCAGTTCCTCGTTACTTTTTTGGCCACCATTACTCTATTTATTTTAGTAACCTAAAATCAACTCATAATTCATTGTATTTTACTTATTATTCGCATTACAGACAACTAGAAGTTAAAAAATAGTCGACGTCACAGTCAACAACGACGACGAAAACAATAATCAAGTTTATTTTTTCGTAATAATTAGAATAATGAAGTTTTAACTTATATATATTTTAATGAATTTATGTTTAATAGTTTGAATTGTGTATTAAAAATGTAATTTATTGTATGAATTAATTTTATTAATAATATTTTAATAAATTTATAATGTAAATTAAATATCAATAACTTATTAATTTGAGTGAAAAAAATTTAATTTTTTTAAAATATAATTTTAAATTTAAGTATTATGAATGAAAAATTAAATATTAAATTTGAGACAATCTAATTCAAATTAATTGCAATCAATATGAGTACTGGATATAAGGGAAATTAATAAAAAAATAATAATGCAAACTAAACTCTTAAATATACCATTAATCTCAAAAACACTTTTTTTTTTTTAATTACAGGGTATGGTGTCCGATATTTATTTCGAAACGACGTCACCTTTGCCTTCAAACCAATTAAGTTTTGCCACGTCTTAAAAGCGGGTTCCCGAGTTTGGCTCCATCAATTTTCCGGTGCAGGCACTCTCCTCGGTCTCCACTCTCCGCCTTGAATTTCTACTTTCGATCGATCTCTTCTTCTTCATCTCCTTGCCCTCCCGTTTGTTTCTTTCTTTTGGAGAATCGTGGAGTTCTCCGGAATTCGAAGTTCCAGCTCCTTGGTGGCTGGATTTGGTTGAGGACTTGAGCAATGGCGGCACAGAATCAAAATCAGAATCAGAGCAACACCGATTTATTCGATGCGTATTTTAGGAGAGCAGATTTGGATGGGGACGGCCAGATCAGTGGAGCAGAGGCGGTGGCCTTCCTTCAAGGCTCAAACCTGCCCAGACCCGTTCTCGCTCAGGTATTTCATCATCCGTTACTTCTTTTTTGCTTTTCTAATTCTCGAACGGAATGAAACTTCAGTGTGCTGTTGGAGATTTGGATGTATAGATTCAATTGAAGTTTTTGTTCTTGGATTTTTTGATCAATTACTCTTTCTCTGCTCTTTAATTAGGTTTAGGTACTGTTAGTTGTTAGAGGTTTAGATCAGATTTGGTTCTATATACTTAATTGGCTGGCCTGTTGAAGTTATATGCAGAATTTCTTTAGCTTATGGTGCTAATTGAGTTACTCATGGCCAGTGAAAACTTAATGTCTTTGAGAATATGTCTCGGCTGGATGTTGCCTCTATTCTGTGATTTTATTCCTTCTTTTTCAACTTAGCAGCTAGAGGAAAAGGATAATAAAATTTAAGAGGAAAAGAAAGGAAGATGAATAATGGAGGTGAAATTTAAGGAGACAGTTTCCAGTTTATGCTTAACAATCCAATCCTACATTTGTGGAGTTTAATTGATGACATGAAGTCAATCTGTTTTTTTCTTACTGTTTTTTTAGTGATTGAATCTAGGTATGCATGGCTAGTTTAGATGGCTTCATGAGAAATTGGAGTAGAAGCTCATTTATCTGTTTGTATGCATGGATGCTGTACTCAAATGTGTTACTTTACTACTTGAGCCAAGTGCCCCATTGAAGGCCCTCGGCTGGAGACTTTGTGTGTTCATAAGTGCAATGCTTTGACGGAACTAGTTGCATTTTGAATCGGAATATTATGCTTGTATGAGGTTTGCCATGCTGTTTGTGCTATGAGTTTGTCTCATGTATCGTTAGTTTTGAAAGGTTTACGTTACATATAACTCCATTTTATTGCACTTGTTGATTCTTAATTTTCACATGATGTCTGTACCTTTCAGGTCTGGATGCATGCTGATCAGAAGAAACTTGGTTATCTTGGCAGACAAGAGTTCTATAATGCCCTTAAACTTGTAACTGTGGCACAAAGCAAGCGTGAATTAACACCAGACATAGTGAAGGCAGCACTCTATTCCCCTGCTTCTGCTAAGATTCCTGCTCCCCAGGTAAACCTTGTAGCAACGCCTGCTCCGCAGTCTAGGGCGGTTGCATCTATTCCACAATCAAGTGGCACTGCACCAGTGCCACCCCAAAATGTAGTCACTAGAGGAATGCAAGGCCTTGGTGGAAATGCAAGCACAAATCAGCAAATTTTCCAGTCGCAACAAAATCAATTTATGAGGCCACCACAGGCTGTGGCTTATAGCATTGCATCTTCAACACCACAAGTTACTGCAGTCAATCTTATGCCAAGGGGAGGTAACATGGTGCCTTCTCGTCCTCCTAGTTCCAACATTGCAACTAATTGGCCAGGTGGAAATATTGGTGGTCCCTCAGCAGAAGTTGGTACCAAAGTTGCTAATCCAGGCATTGGTTCTTCTGCAAACCAGGATGGATTTGGACTGAAAGCATCAGGTTCGACACCTTCTGTGCAACCAAGACTACCAGCAGTCACTGGACAGACTGCTTTGGCTGCACCAAAACCTCAAGATTCATTGATGCCTTCCAACCAGCTAGCAACCAAGGATTCCCCAACATCAGTTACTTCATCGAATGGTTTTGTCTCTAACTCACTTTTTGGAGATGATGTCTTCTCTGCAACCCCATCCCAACAGATGCAATCCTCCTTGGCTGCTACACCATCTACCAGTGGTTCAGCTGTCTCAACAGTCTTAGTTCCCGCTTCTGGGCCACAACCTTCAGCAAAGCCTAGTCCAATTGAATCTTTTCAGAATAAATTGACTCATCAACCCACGGGTAGTCAGTATCAGCAAGGTCGGCCAGCAGGCAAGATGCAGCAGGTTGTGGCACAGAGCACTGTGGCTTCTGCTGGAACTGGGAACTTGGTTTCAAGTCAATCAACTCAGTCCCAGCTTCCATGGCCAAAAATGACACAGTCTAATGTTCAGAATTATACTAAAGTATTTTTGCAAGTAGACACCGATAGAGATGGAAGAATTACAGGTGAAGAGGCACGCAACCTTTTCTTAAGCTGGAGGCTCCCAAGAGGTTGGCTATGTTGTTCCTTTTCTTCCCCACTCCCCCGTTTCTTCTTCTGGTTTATCCTTTCTTAAATATCATTGTTGCTATAGACAGGATTTTCCTTTTCTCCTTTAAAAGGGTTTGTATTAATTAAAACAGTATATCTCTTTTCTAGAATTCCTGTTCTGGAGTTTGTTTAGGTGTAGCGTGTGTAGATGTTTCCCAATGAAACCCTTTTGATGCATGTTCTCTTATTATCTTGAGAACTTCTGGCTATTAAAGGCAGAAAACTTCTGTTTCAAAATCAGTTTTGGTAATGTGTATTCCCCTCAAATCAATTTTGGCGATCAACTTTTTTATAACCTTTTTGACATATCATTGTGCTCCCTTAATGCATGATGGTCACAATATAATTCTTGGTGTTCAGAGGTCTTAAAGCAGGTTTGGGACTTATCAGACCAGGATAATGATAGCATGCTTTCTTTGAGGGAGTTCTGTACTGCTCTCTATCTTATGGAACGTTATAGGGAAGGGCGCCCCCTTCCTTCAGTGCTTCCAAGCAGTATGATATTTGATGAAACTCTATTCCCCACCTCTGCTCGACCTGGAGTTCCATATGGTGGTGCAACTTGGGGATCTGCTCATGGTATATCTTCCATTCTGGGACATTGCTCTCTATTTTTGATCTTCAATTCTCTTTTTGTGGATGAATTTCTCTAAGAAAAAACGGCCTTCAGGTTTCCAGCAGCCACAAGTCATGAATGCTCCACGACCACCCTTACCATCTGCCAGGGGAAGACCACCACGGCCAGTTTCTGTTTCACAGGCTGATGAAAATATGCATCCTGGCCCTCAAAAGCCCAAAATTCCAGTGCTGGAAAAGCACATTGTTGATCAACTTAGCCAAGAGGAGCAGGATTTACTCAACTCAAAGTTCAAAGAGGCAACAGAGGCAAATGAAAAGGCACTTTCTCTCTTCCTCATGGCCTTTATGTATTGGTTGTATTGATCATCATGCTTAAGGTTCAAGTGTGAGATTTATAATAATCTGGACTTCCTTTTCTTTTCCTCCGTCAATTTTGGCATTCTTTTCTCAATGTCACGTTTATTTTTCAGGCTATAAATCCAACATCATTCAAGCTTTGCTAGTTGCTGCTCTCCTTAGATTATCTCTTGTTGTTGTTGAATAATCCTAACAATGTGGATTCTGTGATTATTTCACTGATTCTTCGAACTACATTAAGTAATTTTTTGTTTTGAGCTCTAATTTGTATAGTAACCGTTATAGCTCTTCTAGAAATTTTATCCTCCTTTCATTTTGAAGGTTGAAGAACTGGAAAAGGAGATACAAGATTGTAAAGCAAAGACTGAGTTCTATCGTGTCAAGATGCAGGAACTTGTGAGTCTACCCATTTTTGGTTTTTGTCCTTTTCCTTAATCCATTGGTTAAATGCAATGCATAATCATTTCATTTCAATTAACTCATTCAAAATGTGGGAAAACATAAGTTTGTAGATGGTCAAAGAACTTTCATTTCATTGGGTTAGTATGGTTGTCAAAGTATATTCATTAGGCTTTGATGGTGCTGGTGCTCACCTGAGGAATCACCTAATGTTTATCTCCACATTAACTGGTAAATTATTGATAGCAATTTCTTGTAGATTGCTAAGGTTATGACAAAGATAATGCTGCATCTTCTAGCTCAGATGATTAGCATGAATACACTTGTTTAGGAAAGGAGTCTAAACGTCATGCTTGAAAGGCTGATTGAGGGCCATCTTGATCTAGAGCTGCCCTGTTGTTCAACTACAATGTTTGCAAAGCAGATCTCTTCGAGTTGAAGTTGAGCCACTGGTTTGGTACCTAAGAAAGGGCAATTGAGTAAATTTGACATCCTGAGAACAAGTGAAAATGTTAACCACAAGTTCTAGGAGACAATCAGATTCTGATCATTATTTCTTGTGTCAATTAATTCATGATCATGATCCATTGTCAATGAAAAAT